CTGAGACCAGCCTGGCCAACACAGCAAGACCCTGTCTCTACTAAAAATATAAAAAATTATCTGGGCATGTTGGTGCACACCTGTAATCCCAGCTCCTAGGGAGACTGAAGTAAGAGAATCGGTTAAACCCAGGAGGCAGAGGTTGCAGTGAGCCGAGATGGCGCCATTGCACTCCAGTCTCAGCAAGAGAGCAAGACTCTGTCTCAAGAAAAAAAAATTTAGCATTAAGTGTATAGTGCGTATACAGTCTACAGTGGCATACAGTAATGTACTAGGCCTGCACATTGACTCACAACTCCATCACTGACTCACCCAGAGCAACTTCCAGTCCTGCAAGCTCCATTCATGGTAAGTGCCCCATACAGGTGTACCATTTTTAAATATTTTATACCCTACTCTTACTGTACCTTTTCTATGTTTAGATACACAGATGTATACCACTGTGTTATAACTGCCTGCAGTATTCAGTACTGTAACATGCTGTACAGGTTTGTAACCGAGGAGCCATGGGTTATACCATATAGCCTCAGCGTATGGTAGGTTTTACCGTCTAAGTTGTGTAAGTACACTGCATGATGTTTGCACAATGATGCAATCACCTAATGATGCATTTCTCAGAACATATCCCTGTCGTTAAGCAAGGTGTGACTGTACTTCTCACATTTTATTGACCAAAGAAAGTCATATGGTTATTCACAAATCCAAGCTATTGTAAGGAAGTACAATCCTATCATGTGCCTACAGAGGTCTTATGGAGAGCATCCCAGTTTTTGTCCTCTTTTTTGTTGGGAAAAGAACAGCTTTCAGGCCAGGCATGGTGGCTCACGCCTGTAATCCCAGCACTTTGGGAGGCTGAGGCTTGTGGATTGCCTGAGGTCAGGCGTTTGAGACCAGCCTGGCCAACGTGGCAAAACCCGGCCTCTACTAAAAATACAAAAATTAGCCGGGCGTGGTGGCGCATGCCTGTAATTCCAGCAACTTGAGATGTTGAGGCAGGAGAATCGCTTGAACCTGGGAGAAGGAGGTTGCAGTGAGCCAAGACTATGTCATTGCACTCCAGCCTGGATGACAGAGTGAGACACCATCTCAAAACAAACAAACAAAAACCACCTTTTTTTGATTGCCGCTTAAAAAAGGCCTCCCTACTATGCAGAAATCAAGAACTCAACAATTGTTTCCTGTGTCACTACCAAATGTTTCCCAGGGGTTTTGCCACTATGTGGAACCAGCAGTTCTGTGGGGGAACTTCTTTCAAGATATTGCCTCAGCTAGAAATCATTTCCCTTTTCCTGGTAATTGGCCATTCCTTGATTCACAGAGGTGGCTTCCTGGTGAACTTCATGCCTGTAAGCTGGCCATGACTGCTCTGGAGGAGGAGGGCACCTACCACAAATTGGGTCAGTTAGAGCCTTTTCTACATGATTTTGTAGTTGGAATGATTAGGGAGTTTTAGTCTCTCTGGATAGTTGGAATTGTATCTCATACTTGGGAGAGGTTGCTAGACACATGTCTCATTGTATTATTAATACCCGGAGGCAGAGAAAACAAGTTTGCTGGAGTCGTACTGGCTCCCCTTACTCTGCTTCCAGCCCATCCAAAAGCCCAGCTAGGTTCTTTCCCTTGGCCTCTGAGAGATCCATCCCACCAAAAGCCTAAAGATGAAGTCTCCTTTTATTTTCCTTTAATTGGTCTGGTGGGTTTCTGGTGCTTGCAGCCAGCAAACTTCTGATAGTTCTTTCTCTGGATGCTAGTACAAAAAGTTCACAGGTGTAGCCCATTCCAATAAAATAGGGGTTCAATAAAATGGGTTGTAACTATTTCATTAACTATACCAGCAGTTTCCTTCCTGCTTGAGAAAGCTCATCAGAATGTGAGTGCAAGTGACATTATTATAGAGCTCACCTGAAATCTGAATTTTTTTTAAAGGAAAGTAATTTGCCTCTGTGTGTAAATATCATTTGTGACATACCCCCCTACACTGGTATTAAATGCTGTTTCTTCTGTCTGGAGTCTCTGTCTCAGCAGCTCTTCGGATATGGCCCCAAAGTCACCTCTTCTGGGAAGCCTACCCTCACTCTCCTGTATATTGTTAATTATGCTATTCTCTGTGCTTCCCAAAGCAGTTGGCACATCCACCAGAAGTTGTTTTTTGTTTGTTTTTTTGTTTTTTGAGATGGAGTCTCGCTCTGTCACCCAGGCTGGAGTGCAGTGGCCCGATCTCAGCTTACTACAAGCTCCGCCTCCCGGGTTTATGCCATTCTCCTGCCTCAGCCTCCCAAGTAGCTGGGACTACAGGCACCTGCCACCTCGCCCAGCTAGTTTGGTTCTGTTTTTTTTTTTTTTTTTGTATTTTTTTGGTAGAGGCGGGGTTTCACCATGTTAGCCAGGATGGTCTCGATCTCCTGACCTTGTGATCGTCCCATGTCAGCCTCCCAAAGTGCTGGGATTACAGGCTTGAGCCACCGTGCCCAGCGTTTGTTTGTTTTTGAGACAGAGTTTCACTCTTGTTGCCCAGGCTGGAGTGTAATACTGCAATCTCGGCTCACTGCAATCTGTGCTTCCCGGGTTCAAGTGATTCTTGAACTGCCTCAGCCTCCCAAGTAGCCGGGATTACAGGTGCGCGTCACATGCCCGGCTAATTTTTGTATTTTGAGTAGAGATGGGGGTTTCACAAGTTGGTCAGGTCTCAAACTCCTGACCTCAGGTGATTCACCCACCTAAGCCTCCCAAAGTGCTGGGATTACAGGTGTGAGCCACTGCGCCCGGCCAGAAGTATTTTTTTTACATTCCTGTTTCCTTTGAAATACTGTTCCACAAAGGTTGGGAGAGTACCTTGTTTTTCTCAGGATCCCACTGTGCCTGGATCAAAATAGATGCTCAGAAAAGTTTGTTGAGTAAATGAAGTTGTATTGGCGCAGCATAACCTATATACATTCTCATTCATTCCAGAAATACTGAGAACCTGAACATGTCGACCCATGCTCTAAATGCTGAAGATGGGAAAAACAAAGTTCCCACCTTCAGAGATTCTATAGATGATATTCAGGTTAGAAGGGCTAGGCATAAAAGTAAAGTAGGCTTAGAGGATAGTGATAGTTGGGACTTGATACTTTAGTAGAGTGGCCTGGGAAAGTGTGGGGAGGTGACTTTTGAATAGAAACTTAGAGGGCACATGCCTTTCTGATATCTGGGGGAAGAAACACCAAGTACAGAGGTTCTGAAGTAGAAGTGAACCTCCATATTCTGGGAGCAAGAAGGAGGCTAGTATGCCTGGCATTCAATGAGGAGGCCGAGTGGAAGGAGGTGCAGTTAGAGAGATTGGAGAGCATAATAAGTGGAAGAAGGGCAGACACATAGGATCTTGGAAGCGTTTGGAAAAAAAACAAAAACAAAAACATCATTTTGGAAATTAAAAAAGTGGGCGTGCACCTGTAGTCCTAGCTACCTGGGAGGTTGAGGTGGGAGGATTGCTTGAGTCTGGGAGGTTGAGGCTGCAGTGAGCTGTGATGGCACCACTGCACTCTAACCTGGGAGATAGAGTGAGATCGTGTCCCACTCTCCATCCCACCACCCCCATTTTATTTTTTTGGCTTTTACTCTGAGATGGGAAACCTTGTGGGGGTTTTCGAGCTTAGATTTCAACAGGATCCCTCTGGCTTCTGTGTTGAGAGAAGGCTCCATGAGAGCACAGTGGAATCAGGGAGAACAGGTAGGAGGTTACTACAATATTCTAGGAAAGAGGAAAAGAGGTATTTTAAAGGTAGAACTGACAGGCTTTTCTAATGGGTTGCATGTGGGATACGATAGGGAGAGAGGAGTTCAGGATGACTCCAATGGTTTGGCCAGAGTCATCAGAAGAATGGAGTTGACATGAACTGAGGTAGGGAAGGTTGTGAAAGGAGCAAGCTAAGGCACCAGGTATGGGTGACTATGGACTGTTTACTTGGACACATCGCTCACATTTGTATATACGTTCCCTGGTTTTCAGGATCTGAAGGTTCTAAGGTTACTTGAAGTTAAAGTCAGCCTTATTTATTGAACACCAAGCACTGTGCAGAAACCTTTCTATGTGCTGTCATTTAACCCTTTTAATATTTCTATTGGTTTACTCATGTTTCGTTGCCCTTTTACAGATGAGAGATTAACACGTCCAAAGTCACTCAGACAATGATTAACCTGCCAGATTAATACAGATCTAGGATTACCACCCAGGTGTGTCAAGACTGTAGAGCTCCTGCTGTTTAGTAATCACTGGATTCTAAAGGTGGGAACCACTTTCTGAGCATATTTGCTGCAGACTTGGTTCCATAACTAAAAAGGTGCCTGGATCATGTGGGGAGAATTCAGGAAAGAATCCAACCCCATCCCAGGCGTTACAGGTTACACAATAGCTATGAAGAAAGGACGGTATTAGTGGACTCGAGGAGGCTGACTGATGCTTGAAAGTTCAAGTACTTGAAGATTCAATGTTAAAACAGCGATCAAGAGTTAGTTTATTTTTAAGAAAACAGAAAATATTAAAAACTGCAGTGAAGCCTTTGGTGGGATAAAAGACCACTCCTAGGCGATGCTTGTTGGGAAACACTGGAATTGGAGGAGTGGGGGCAGACAGGAGCCAGAGCCCCTGCCAGCCTACACACACATCCTTTCGAAAGTGTAACCTGGTGTGACCTGTGACCTTCCTTAAGTGGTCCTCTGGAAAGAGCAGGATATGGAGTACAAAAGCCAGGAACCTCTGGAACCGCAGCATCCGCCCCCAGCCCCTCCTTCCCCGTCGTCTCCAGCCTCCACACGGTGAAGAGCTGGAGGGGACTGGCGCATGCGCCGGGGGCAAGGTCCGCTCCCCACGACGTCAGGGGGCTCGCACCCACTCAAAAGCCCCGCCCCGCGGCCGCCAGAGGCGACCTGGGCGGGGGGCCCTGGGCCACGCCCCCAGCCGAGCCGAGCAAGGCCGAGCGGAGCCGAGCAAGGCCGAGCAGAACCGAGAACCTCCGAGAGCAGCCGAGCCCAGCCGAGTGGCCCGGAGTCGGTTGGTGCAGCTGCGTCCCCGCCGCTCAGCAGTCCGCGGCTCCGGCGTCGCCGCCGCCGCCGCCTCTGCGGGGCCTGCGCCGGCCGCCCGCCCGCCCGGCCGCGGGGAGGGAGGCCCGCAGCGCGGGAAGAGTGGCCCGGTCGCGGGCGCCGCCACCGCTGCCGCTGCCAGGTGAGCGCCCGCCACAGCCAGCCGGCCCCGCGTGCCCCCGCGGCTGTCAGTCCCCCGTGTCTGTGTGTCTCTCTGCCTGTCAGCACGACTGTGTCTGTGTCTGTGCGAGCTCCTTCCCGCCACGCCTGGCCCGCGGCCGACCCGCAGTCTCCGTCAGCCCCCTCCCGCCAGCTGCCCCTGGTCTTTCTGTCAGCCGCCAGCACCCCCATGCTGAGAGGCTCCGCCCCTTCCCCCCGGAGCCCCGCCCTCCGCCATCTGTCATCACCCCCTGGGCTCCAGGCGCCGGCGTCCAGGGGTCCTGGGGGTCAGGGTAGCCCTGTGTGCCACCGTCGCGGAAGGCGCAAAAGGGGGTGGTGGAGGGGAAGCGGGGGCGTTCGCGCAGGCCCGCCTGACCGTGTGAGAGTGCCTGCCCGAGTGTTCGTCCCGCGTGTGCGCCCGAGGGCCGCCTGCGTCCACGCCCGCCGGCCCTTGCACCCTGCTGGGATGTGGCAGCCCATGCCCCCGGTGTAAAGAGCGTCAGCTCGACCAGGGAAGGCGGCAGAGCCAGGACTCGAACCACTCGGGGTACAGTAGCATCCTGAATCTTGGGACCCTTGTTTGCCCACGCGAAAACACTACACGTGGGCCTCAAGTCCTCCGATTCCCTGAGTGGCATGTGAGTGGAGTTTGGAGCTTGTTAAGCCTTCCCAGTTTGGGATTTTCATTCAGGGAAGCCTGTTGGAAGTGACTGAGGAGTGGATGGGATGTAGAACTTAGGTGGGAAGTGTTTGAGAGCTTGAGTCATTTTGAGTTGCATGGTTTACATTTCTGAGCAGTGATTGCCCTGGGCCTGTGCCCTGTGAGAAACTTATGTGACTTGGGGTAGGGGAGTGAGGTGGGAAGGAATGCTCCTTTCTGTTTTTATCTATGTGAACACATAGTATATATATATTTATCCAGATATCTTAAATGTTTATTCATGAGGCGTCCACACATCCTTACTTTTAAAAAGCATTACAGTAGTTTCCATTTATACACGTTCTTGTGTGTTGTCATCTCGATGTTCTTTATTTGTGGTAACTTAGTATTGCAATATTTCAAAACTAAGAGAAAATGCGTCCTAAAACAATTGGTATTTTGCCGGATAATTCTGAACCACGGAGAAGGAGCCAAAAGCGCACTTCATTAGCTGGAACAACTTATTCGAGCTTAATTTGTTTCTAAGAGACATACAGTGGAAAAATCCAGAAGCGCAAAATAGTATCAAAGAGACTTAGAAAATGAATGAAAAGGGCCCTTCTGTTGCTGCCTTGGAAAGATGGTATCAAAGTTGCTGTGGAGGACAGAGCCACTATGTAATGATCAACATATTAACCAAGTTGGTTTTGTGACCTTGATACATTGAGCTGGGCTTGATTTGTGCAGTGGTTCATGACAGGCAAACATTGCATGGGAAGTGTGGTAATTTTTGGGAAAAAATGTTCCCCATGTTGTTTTGGTTTTTGGTTTTGAGTTTTTTTTGTTTTTGTTTTTTTCATATCGAAGTAAGATTTCAGACTAGGGAAGTCTCATGGTAGAGTGCTTTATTCTTTTTAAAGATAACATTAAAAATTACCAAAGTAATTCATGTTTAAGGCAGAAAACTTGAAAAACAAACAAAAGCATTGCCAAAAACAAAACAAAACAAAACAAAAAACCCACCATAATCCCACAAACCATAGTAAACCACAATTTGGTATTAAGGCTTTTAGCCTTGTTCCCATGTATATGTGTTTTTTCTTACAAAAATGCTATCATACTATATACAACTTTTATTCTGTGCTTTTTTTCTTTCACTTATAACTAGATTATGAGAGATACATCTTGGTTTTATGAGTAGGAACTTGTATTTCTCTTTGCAGTCCTTTAAAAAAGTCAGATCATGTTAGTCCTCTGCTTAGAGCCCTCCAATAGCTTTTTGTCTTAAAATCTGAAGGCCTTGCTGTGGCCTGCCAGGCTAACCCTCTTCCCCACAACCATCCTCACTTAGAGCCTTGCCAGACAGATCTCTTTGCTGTTTCTTAAAAACGTCAAACTTATTCCTGTAATCCCAGCACTTTGGGAGATCGAGGTGGGAGGATCACGAGGTCAGGAGTTCGAGACCAACCTGGCTGGCATGGTGACACTCTGTCTCTACTAAAAAAAAAAAAAAAAAAAGAAAAGTCAAGCATATTCTAGCCTTGGTGCCTTTGCATTTTCTGTTCCCTCCGCTTAGAACTCTGGTCCCTGCATATTAACATGGTTGACTCCCTTACTTCAGGTCTCTGCTCGAAAGTTAGGTTGTCTGGCTTTGCTTGACCGCACTATCAAATACACCCCATTTCCCTGTTCTTATCCTGCCTTACTTACCACCACTTGGTAATACATATTTATTTGTTGGTTTATTGTCTGTCTCCCTCATTAACCCAGAAGTGTGAGACTTTTTTTCACTGATGTATCCCCAGGGCTCAGAAACTGCACCTGGCCCACTGTGGGTACTTAATATTTGTTGAATGAATGAGGGAAAGAATGAATGTTCATTATCCAACTATTCATGTGACCTTGCTGGTAGCCTTCTAGGCTTTTAGGTAGCTGTGTCATGAGTTAAAATGACAATCTCTTAAAAGTTACAATATTCCTTTCTCATCTATATCTGAGAAGAATTTTACAAAGTGAGGCTATGGTCTTAAAAAGAATTACGGTCTTGATTTAACTTGAACAATTGAGGGAAGGAACATTTTTGGCAAATGTTGTTGGCTTTCCTTCATATGCATTATCACTGTGTCACACTGGACATTTTTGAGAAGTATAAAGTTTCCCAGTTATGTTTACAGCTGTGATTTCAATTTGGTAGTTCATAGTGATAGTATAAGCCTCAAGAGCATAATGGAGTTTTTTGTGTCAACAGATACCCAGAGATATAATTATAGCTTTAATGTGTTTTCATTTGGGGAATAGCTGTTACATATTTACTTATTTTTCTGGCCATTCTATCCTTTTCATCTCCCTTCTTATCAGTTTTTGGATGACCTAGCAGGTATACTTAATGGGTTTTTTAAAAAAACATTTAAAAATAAATCCTTGACCTTTTGAAATTTTACATCTCTAATGTGACTCTTGAACTGTTTGAAAGTACCAGTTTCATCTATCAGGATGAAATATCTGTAGTAAAATATATAATTGCATTTTAATTTATGAGGATGGGAAAATTGTGTCTTGGGGCAGAATTTTTATACAGAAGTTGTAATGTGAGTATAAGCTTTTCAAAGGTTTGAATTTCAGGTAGACTACTTTTAATTTGTGAGTTTTTGGAAAAAACAGTTGCTTCTTATTTTTAAGAAAAAGGATCTCCTTGAACACAATCCAACTAGAGACCTTCGAAAACTTGTTTTTCTTATCCTCCAAATATACAAGAAGTTGGTGGTGGTGGTGGTAAGGGTGGAATCCTAAGTGAAAATTATTTTCTTAAAGACCTAAAAGGAGGCTGGGCGCGGTGGCTGACGCCTGTAATCCCAGCACTTTGGGAGGCCGAGGTGGGCGGATCACGAAGTCAGGAGATCAAGACCATCCTGGCTAAAACGGTGAAACCCTGTCTCTACTAAAAATAAAAAATTAGCCGGGCGTGTTGGCAGGCGCCTGTAGTCCCAGCTGCTCGGGAGGCTGAGGCAGGAGAATAGTGTGAACCCAGGAGGCGGAGCCTGTGCTGATCAGAGATCTTGCCACTGCACTCCAGCCTGGGTGACAGAGCGAGACACCATCTCAAAAAAAAAAAAAAAAAAAAGGCCTAAAAGGATGTGTTAAGAATTTATTTTTGTTTGTTCCATAGGTATTTATTGAGCATGTATTTGAGCCAGTTCTATGTTTGTGTGGGCTATGTTACCATGTTCAGTTTTAAATTATCAACGTGATTTTTAGTTATTTCTTTTCCTTTCTGGCTCTGCTACCTTCCTTCTCTCATTATATTCTCTCTTTAAATGATCTCATCAATTTCCAGGACCCTAGTACCCCCTGGATGCAGATGACTCTTTCTATTATGTCTCCCCACCCTTTCTCTGGTTCCAGACTTGCCGTTTCAGCTACCACCTTCCTGTCCCAGTGATCTCAAACTTCACAGGTTCAGAACTGATCTCTCAATCTCCCTCTCAAGCTTTGAAATTTGTATTCCTCATTCCTGACCCTTCCTTACTCTCCCCTTCAGCCTTCTGTCTCACTGTTAGTTTGTATTGTCTATTCATTGTTCAGGCTGGACATCTGAAAGTTGTCTGTAATTCTTCTCATTTCCTCACTCCACATGCAACCAATCTGTATGGCTTTTTGGCCTGGCCTCTAGAATATCTCAAACCCTTCCTTATCTCCATCTTCCTAATCTGCCTAACCCCCTCTCTCAGATGGATGATTCCCCGTCTCCTAGTTGGTCTCCCAGCTTCCACTGTTGCTTTCTTCTAGCACATTTTCCTCACAGCAGCCAGAGTGATCCTACTAAAGAGTAAACCCAGGCATGCCACCCCCCTGCTTGGTGGCTTCCACTGCACTTGGACTCGCATCCACACTTACTCTGACGTGCTTCCTCTCCAGGCTCCCCTCCTTGTTTGCCATGCTTGTCAGGTTGAACACCTTCAGTTCCTCAAACATGCCTTGTTCTCCTCTTCTGTACAGGCTCTTCCCTCCACTTGTCTCCTTAGAAAGAGCCTAAAACATCCAGTCTCAGCTAAAACATCTCCCCCTCAGAGGGGGCTTCCTTGATCACTACTTCTATAGTAGCTTCCTCTCCATTGTCCTCTATCTCAGTACATGTGCATTTATTGCTTGACACTTCACTAAAATTCATAGTGTGTTCGGAGTTGGTTCCTTCCGGTGGGTTCGTGGTCTCGCTGACTTCAAGAAAGGAGCTGTGGACCTTCGTGGTGAGTGTTACAGCTCTTAAAGATGGCATGGACCCAAAGAGTGAGTAGCAGCGATTTATTGTGAAAAGGAAAAAAACAAAGCTTCCACAACCTAGAAGG